TTACGAGTTGTACTGTCTTTATTTGAGAGGAGCTGCAGTCTGCTTTCACTCAATTACTGAGAGAATGGTACTCATGTATGTCTGGGAGAATATCTAGGTCCAACTGCAGACCTCATTGCCTTCTCTGTGTACAGTATATTTCAATTATGAAAAATATGACGAGAGGAGGTTGAAACAATATAACCCATCGTGTGTGGATGGATCACTTCTCTCATTCACTCCAATATTTTGTTTTTAGTATAAGCACTCTGATCAATTTGTGTTTTATTATTCAACAGGAAAAAGGTGCAAAAACAGGCAGAGCAAAAACATTAAAAGGTTTAAAGTAGGGCACCATATCAAGTGTTTAAAGTACTTTATGTAAATGTGATGACAAAACATAGGGACATATTTCTAATGGTTCAGTCCTTCAGTGTTCCATTCAAATTTCCTGAGTTTATCGGAGCATTAGCATCCGTTAAAATGCTGTTGAAACACAGGAAGTGTCACTGTTTAATAAGTGTTTCCCATTCAGAGCCTTGCACAGTGACCGTCTTTCAGTAGTGAACAGTAACGTCTGGCTCGCAGCCGTTTAGACGCCTGGTTACAGAACAACACACTCATGCAACAGAAGTCCCTACTGTAGTTGTGCTAACCAGACAGAACAAGGCAACCTCTCTGTAAAAGGGTGACCGGGTGAGTCCTTTATGAGGGAATACTTCATCTTTTGGTAAACAGCAGCGAAACAGAAGGAAAATATTAAAAATGAAAAACAGCATTCTGTCTGATTTAAGAACTGCAACATCAGATGCACCAGGGATTTATATTTGGCATTGGTGGTTCCCACTTTCAATTCCATGATAACATTATATCACGCTGTTTGGCTGCTCCCTGAAGTGCATGGCTGGGCCTTAAAGAGAAATGAATAGTGTACGAGCCCAGTGGAAAACTCAAGCTCATCTCTGAGCCCGAGGTGGTAAATATTAACATTCTTACAGAGGTTTACAGCCATCATGCTGTCACACTGTGTATGAGCAAGTGTTCTTTATTGTTCCAGTAAGCGCACCAGCTTACTAACAGCTCTGCCATCCACCTTGGCTATTGTGTGAGAATCAAACTGCCTGTGTGGATGATAAATTGGAAATTCAGTAATGTACTTCTGGAGAAAATACTACCAATGTTTTCCATTACAGCACAGTTATGGACAGATCCCCAACTTTCTGCTGTTGCCTGTTTGCCTGTCATTGTCTTTCTCTAGCTCTGGCTTTGCTATGAAAGGTGTTTGCGATTTGAGATCATTACAATCCCCATGATGTCACCAAAGCTCACAACCAGCCACGGCGCTACAGCAGGAAATCTCCATAGCAACAAGGGAGGGTTGTTGGTAAGATAAAGAGAAGAAGCCATATAGAACAGATTCAGCTCTCTGCAGGTGCACTGGAGGGATCGCGGCTTAAGCTGTCTGTATCAGCATCAACGGCTGCTGCATTCATGTGCACGCAGCTTCTGAGAAGGACAATGTTGACTGTGTGTCATTTTTGTGTGTGTCAGTGTGTTTGTGGGTATTTTATGTGTGTGCTTGTATCTCTGGCAGAGGATCAGTGTATTGCCCCAAAGGCAGATCGGGCCTCAGGGACTCCATTTGGACAGCAGGTCTAAGTAGAGTTGAGACAATGCCAACACTACCCATTGACGAGCCAACATCAGATCATATGCACACACAAATAACACAGAGGTATTATAGGGCTAAATGCCAACAACAGCTACTGATTAAAGAACATTCCAACATGTCCAGGAAGATGGAATGACCTAAACCTGTAATAACTTTTTATTTTGTTTTGTTTTGATTTTTTTCCACTTGGGGGCAGCAGAAATAAATTATGAACACAGAGAAACATTATCATTCATTTGGAGCTGTGTTTCAGTTGTTGTTCTGTTGCCATCTGGCAACTGTAAGCCCAATATTTACTCTCTTTTAGCCCTTTTTTTAGTCTGTACCAACTCCTGACTGAAGAATGTGGCTCTTTAACTGCTAAATGCTCCACTAGCTAGTCACTAACTGCATTTGGTGTTAAGCAGGTAGTGTGCAGTGGGTTTTTCACTGAAAACAGCAGCTTGTTGCATCTGAAAACAACACTAGAGTGAACCAAAATAGTAAAGTTGCTGAAGGCTGAAACTCTCTTTAAAGCCGCTGGACATTTTTTTCTCCTTACCCGAACCGAAGATGTCAAATGTTGTTCAGGCTGTAAAGCCCTCTGAGATATTTTCTGATCTTAGGATATATACATTTGACTTGACCTGAATTTACTAAAGATCCTTAAAAACCTTTCAAAAATTGGTCGACCCTCTTCAAATAAGCACACTAACATACAGTCTATGAGTCTCACCTTTTCTTTTGTGACTTTCAATGATGTGATATTTCCATGTTCACCAGAAGGGTCACACCATTGGCAGTGCAGGGAAGGGACGGTTGCTAAGGCTGATGATGCTGTTGCTAGTGCTCCCACAAAAATCAGATTATTTCTTGATGCTGATTGGCTGATCAGTTCCCCGTTCCCAGCCACAGGCGCAGCAGACCAAGTCGGACTCCCTGTCCAGACATATGTCCTCTGTGCAAACACACAAAACAAACCCATCTCAGACACACACACATACACATACTCTTAGATGCACACTAACACAAACAGGCACGCCTAAACACACTTTCAAAATAATATCTGTCGCATGTTCAGACCCAGATGTTAAGTCACATTTGATTTTTTGTAGCTGTCGGAACGGGGGGGATCTGCCGCCAGTCATCTCAGGTTTTGCTGTCAAAACAAACAGATGGTAGAGATGGTGATAGTGTAAAACAGAGAGAGAGAGAGAGAGAGAGAGAGAGAGAGAGAGAGAGATGCTGCTGTGCTCTACTGGATGACTCATCACTCTGTCATTGTGACCTTTATCTGCTACCCTCTCCACCTCTATTGTCCCATGCCTCCCCGCCACTTTCATTTTCTGCACTCCTCTAACTGCGTTTCCTGCTGACTATGTTACTCTCCTCACTCCCTCTTCTTCTGTTTCTCTCCTCCGTGACACATATCTGCTCTTCCTGACATAACTTCAACCTTTTCCTCCCTTCTCTTTACCTTCTAGCCCCCTCAGATCATTGGGGGGGGGGGGGGTAGTCTTTCCCAAGGGATGTATGCTGGCTCTGACACAGTGTTACCACAAGTTGCTGTCACATAAGACACGCACGCTACAGCCCAAATGGTAGCTGATGCCTGTGGCTCCCAGACTGTGGTCATATACATTAACTGTTGATCTGATTGAACTGACTAGACAGGCAGCACTTAACTGTTGTCTGCAGTGTGGGAAGGAAACTGGGGGAGATTTTCTGTGGGTCACTGCATATTAAGGGGACGTTTCAAAAATCAGGCCAAGCTTTGATGTAGAGGAGATCTCTGGATATGCCGCACATATTCACTCATGCAGTATATACATCATAAAAGTTTCCCCTCTTAGCTAAGCCACACCTCCAGATCAGTTAGGTCATTGATTTTTCTTTGTTTTCTAAGGCTGAGACAACAACAGAAAGTGAAACCACATCCAGAATCAATACCACAGTACTCTACTCTGAAGGTGAGGACATATCTCATCATGAAAGCAGTGATCATCATCAGACTGGCTGCTCTCAACAGTCAGGTGGAAGTCTTTCAAGGTCACTCTCTAAATATAGGTGTGTGTGTGTGTGTGTGTGTGTGTGGGTGTAAGGGGGGGGCCCAAAAGGGAGACACGCAAGGGGAGAGAGGAGTGAGGGGGGAAAATGGGGGAAAAAAAGCGACCATAGCAACTAATTTCCTTCGCCTTTGATACCTACATTCACTTTGAAATGAAAGGTTACGATGTCTTCTGGAGCTGTCTTTCAGGAATTTAGTGTGTGTGTGTGTGTGTGTGTATGTGTGTGTGTGTGTCTTTGCATATGGATTTTATCTTTACATATGCACTTGTATATATGTCTATTGTACTGCACTCTCAATAAAGAAACATGGAGTCAGCATGACTTTGTCTAAATGTGTATTTCATTGTGTTCTGGTGGTACGTGCATGCACATGCCAATCTGTGTGTGTGTGTGTGTGTGTGTGTGTGTGTCGCGTGTGTGCACGTGTGTGTTGTAGCTTGTAAGTGAGTGATCACCTGCTGCAGCACCAGCAGAGGTCATCCAGGACGACGCTCCTCCCCTGCAGTCTGCCGTCATGAGTTGGATCGACACCCTCTTCTCTCCTTCACCCCATTTCTTTCTCACTCTCCTCCTCCCTCGCTCACTTCCACATGTCCTGCTGCACAGAAAAGGGTGGGGATTTTAGGTGTGCAAGTCTGCTGACTCACTCACTGATGCACAAATATGTGGATTATCCCACAGCTAGGGCCCTTGCCCAGCCACTATGATGTATGAAGGAGTCACGATCAAAAAATGCCAAATTGAATCTTAAAGATGTTTTATGCGGTGAACAATGCACTGACATGATTGATGCAGTCATGCGGAGTCATTAGTTGGAAAGCATTCTTCAGTTTCTATGAGGTTCCATTTGGTCTGCTTGGGTGAACACAAAACAGAATCAATTGTCCCATTCTTTTGAGACTTGGCACAACCTGAAGCTGAGCGGGAAGTGGAGACAGAATTGAGGATCTAAAATGGTCAGAGGGTTAATGGTCCTCAAAACTCTGGGTCATCTGTGTGCTAGTAATATAAAACTATTTATCAGGGTTTTCAAAGGCTGACACTGTGCCCCCTGATTCTCAGTCAAGTCCTGGAGTTAAAAAAAGTCTCTTTTTTCTATGACCTATGAGTAAATGTCTGGACATTTATTCATAATGGATATTGGAGCATAATGGTGTCATCAGAAAATTGATATTGCATTGGATCTAAAAATAATGTCTGTGTATTGTTTAGACTGAGTTATGACTTTACGAGAAAGTATTAGACTTTTTAAGCAAATTGCGAGAGTGGGCAATAAGTATATTAAACTATTTTAACTGCC